GCTGCCAGAGGCTTCTGTAGCCAATGGCTCTTCAGCAGGCTACACAGCGACAGGGCAGTTCATATTGTACATCTAGCAGGGATGGCGGACAGCCCAGAGGTCTATCTGTCTGCTGGAAGGTTGGGCCTCAGTTAGCAAATAGAGACCTTAACCCCACCCCACTCAAAGTTGTTGTTGATCCCTGATATCCACAGCTTTAACATGTCCAGAAAACGAGAAGCAGACATCTGACATTTACCAATACTCCTTCTTCAAAACACCATTCTGTTTACTGTCTCGTATTCTCAAATGAGAAAAGGTTTGTCACATTGACTCTCTGCCCCATGTGAGTGGAACCATGGAAGAGAAGAGCAGCTTTCCAGAACCCACAAAAATGCTTAACTTTCAGTTCTAGTTCATATGAGAAGGGGGTACACCCCAATATGTGATTGATAGAGAAATACAGTTATGTGATGCTATGTAATTATGCTAATATTCAGGAAGACCACCAAAGTACTCACTGCCCAGGAGAGGAAACAATCTGCTTAGGTCAGAAGAGTAAGTATCTATTTCCAAATCTATTCAGGGGAAAGTTGCCCTGCAGGCTCCATTGTCCCCTTTTGTCAGCATCTGGGCAGACAGACAGATACTTAGGTCCTAACTACCCACAGAATGCCTCTTGGCTCTGCACACAGTAGGAGTGTAAGGTGTGTGCATTGCATAGATTTTCCATCAGTGGCATGAGAGTGAAAGGAGAAACTGCCTTTAAGAAGCCACACTCTTCATCTCCAATGTTGACTAGGAGAAGAAACTGAAATTAAGAAGAAGGCTGCCCATCATGGCTGCTGACTGCTGGTAATCTATCACTGAACTTTCCTAAAACATAGAATCTAAAAATAATGAGCAAACTTGCCCCGAGTTTCAGGGTAGGGGAAGAGAACAAAGGCAGGCTGGCTGCCAATCAGCTGATCAGTCCCACTGGAGTGAAGACATCTCCCTGTGTCCCCTGTCTTGAGCCTTGAGCAGTTCCCTCGAGGTCACGTAAAAGCCCCAGGGTCCCTCCCTCAGCTGGGGGGTCTCAGTGTCAGTCTTAGCTGCTAATGTGTTCCTACTTTCTTGGGCACACTTGATCTCTGGAAGTGTTCAGACAATGAGAAGGATGGACAGGGTTAAATTCATAACAGGGTGCTTATTCACACCACATTAGCCATGGGAACACTACAAGTAGGCATAAAATTTTATTCCTGTGATAATACACTTCAAGCTCTAAAAAGATCCTGTAAAGAAAAGTATTTCCTTAAAAGAAAGAAAGAAAGAAAAACCCAGCCCAAACAAAACCAGTTACAATTGAGGCTAACTAACAATGTTGCATCACAGAGATTAGAAGAGCCATCACTGCTGATGGCAGTCTACAGGAAATGTGACCGAAAGAGATGTCCATGCAGAAAATGCAAACAATTGTGACTTTTCCTATCGACTACTGGAAATCCAGAAGCCCAGAATTCCTCAGTGTATTACACAGAGCTGCCCGGTGTTCCCAGGTATCTGCAAAGCGCACGTGACCCGGGTCATGGAAGAAGCTGGCTAGTCTGTCTGCAGGAAGGCTTTGCACAGAGGAAGCCACAACCAACTACCTTCAGAACATAGTGCAGGGCTGCCCCATTCTTACCACCCCTCTGCCCTGTAACAACCCCAACTCTCTTTCCTGAGATGGGTGATGAGCAATGCCTTGCACCATTCCATCAACAAACAGCTGGATGAATGCCAAAGGACCATACATCCTGGTCTGCCATGCCCTTTTTAATCAACTTCCTAATTAAAAAATGCCACGCTGGCATGAGGTATGAAGGGAGTAGGCTTGGAAAATTTCACGAAATAGCATCCTCTCATCCTGGAGTTGCCGAGGATCTGTACCCTTACAGATGTTTACGAGTGTTCCTGCTGCAGAGATAGAATCAATTTGCTTGCGCCTGGCCCTCAAGACATATTAAATTTATCCTGAAGGAAGCTGGCTTCTGAAAGCTCTTGCCCAGATGCATTAGGCAGGTGGGGGTTTCAGGGAACCTGAGGGTCCACCAGCAGATGCAGCATTGATTTCTGAATGTTCACACTCTATAGACAGCTCCAGAGCAGACTCGGTTTGATGGCTCTCTATGGGGTGCCCTGCAGACTGGATTATTTCCACCACCAGTCTGGCTAGCATTGTTTCATGGCGACAGTGCACTGTGCATTCAGCTTCTGCTCAGATGGCACAGGCTCGGGGAATATGTAGACCAGCGAGAGGAGACAGTACCGATTTAAAGTCAGCCATGGATTTAAAGTCCCCTGCCTATGGGATTCAGGGACTTAGGAGCCCCCGAACTGAGGAATGGTGCTGATTCTTATGAGTGCAGATTAGAACACACTACGGTTCAGTTTAGACAATGGCTGAGGTGCTGCTCAAGGCCATGCTGGAGCTGGAAATCCTGTAATGAAAATCCTGGCTGGTGCACCAAAAGAAACACCTCTCCAATAAAGGATTCATCCCCGAGTTGTCTGATTTAGACTTCCAAGCTTGACACTCTACCTGAAAACATCTGACACAAATGCTCAATCAGGGTGGTTTTCTCAAGGCAGTTTGAGGGAGTGTGCTGCCTGAACCACCGGACTTCAGACAGAACACAGTATAGAGTCACGAAGTTCTTACAATGGCATTAATGAGTGCACACATACATCTAAGGCAGGTTTACAGGATGCACGGATTAACCTAACGACTCAGATATTACAGCCTACACACAACACTCTTACCCCAGCAGCCTTAAAAATATACATGTTTTACACTTTAAAAGCCATGGGAGGACTCAGCACATTCTCTTTAGTGTGCAAAAAACATCACAGCACGGAATCTTAAAGAAAATAAGGTCAAGTGACATTTTGAAAGAAAACTGTTGACTTTTTTTTTCCTGTTCATAAGCAGTAGGAGCCCTACGGGCAGCACATGTGGCAGAGGGCTCCTGAGATGCAGATTCCCCCCAGTGTGACCACTGCCCACGGAGCAGTGAAGGCAGGCACCTGGCATTTGGAATCTCATGGATGAATTACATGATTTAGCTGTGGGAGGTCGCAATCTCTCCCAAAGTTGATATTCAACCTTATAGGAAAAGTTAAAAATTAAAAATAAAAAAGTCCCCTTAGAAATATCACATTTTTCAGGCTGACTCACATGAACACATTTACAGCTCTTGGGGGACATCTCATTGTCTTTGGATCAAGCCCTTATCAACTGCAAGGAGCCTTGAGAACTGACAGGACTACAAGCGGCAAAAGTAACTCCCTCAAGTGGAAACTCCTGTGACATAATTGTTGCCCTTAAAAAAATGGACTTCACCTGTGAGAGGCAGCCAGGCACAAAGGAAGCCTCGTGAAAGTGATATTCAAGGGGTTCCCTGCTTCTAAATGGTCAAGAAGAGGTTAAAAAAAGAAAGGCTGATGTGTGCTCCAAGAAAGTTATAACCAGACAACAAAAGAGTTATTTTGCCCATAGAGATGGGCTCAACTCCGAAAGGAAGCCTGCATGGGGGAAGAGTGTACAGAGCAGCCTCCCTCTAGATAGGAGCACATGAAAAGGAGAACTCCTGAGTATTCGTTACTTTGGACTAGACATTTAAAACCTGAGTTCCCCCTGTCGCCCCCCCCATTCTAGCTAACTAGCTAATTTAAAAAATGCAATAGGAAGAAAAACATTTGTATATCCATATGCATTCATAGAAAAACAGAATTTTCCTATTATGCAAAAAATAATACATCTTAATGCGAATATCCAGAAACTTGCAATTTGGCCAAGGAAATGATCAGAGACAAGTTTTCTGTTCTGCTTCCAGCGTGGTCACACCTGAGGCTTGGGCTCACTGAAGGTATTTGTGGTTTTCATTTTTAATCAAGGCATGCTTTGTGAAATAGGACAAATTACACCCATCCACCTCCCCCAAAAGTAGTATTTAAAGTCACACATTCACTGTCATGTCGAAAGTATAGCAAACACTCAGGGAAAGCTCTTTTAAAAAAATCAAAACGACAGCATGACATGCACCAAAATACCCATGAAACTACAGGAATACAGTCAAAAGATCATGGTTTCTACTGAAGTTTGACTTCAAAAACAAACTAAATAATTAGGTCAGTTAAAATGTGAACCTTTCCCTCTAAGGAGGCTAGGAATCCTTAACACAGGGAAGGACTCTTCATCAGTGACTGCCCCCTCCCCAAGCATCTTGAACTGAATTTTGAAACACCCATGCTCCAGCATGGTAGTCCCAGAATTATATAAGAAATCTGTGCCACTGTTGACAATAGAAACTCAGGGCTCCAGGAAGCTTTATTATTACTTATGAACTCAGAAAACAGATTTGAAAAAAAAATCTCATTTTTTTCTGAAAACAACTCAGTATCAAAGGTTGTACTCATTTAACACCCCCACCCCCCCACCTCCTGCCGCCGCTGCATCCTACAGTTCTACAAAAACATCAGTTCAGTTTCTATGTCCCCAATAAGTAACTGGTTAAATGAGACTAAAACCTCCTTCCAGCTATGAAAAATATATACTAGTCAAAACTAATTACATCTGGGCTTTCATCAAAACAACATTTGCTAATTCTGCTGGTCTCCATACAGTGTCCCAGAAAATATTAATTAAACACGTTGAATAATGGCTGCTGTAAATTTCTGAAAACACTAATCTCTAAACAGTTAATTTTCACTTCACACTTATGCACCGAAGATGGATGAAGAGGCCCCCCCACGCACCAGCAAAAAGACCATTCTTTTGTTACTGCCCTTAAGAGTTGAACTTTGCTCCACTTTGGGAAGCGCAGCCACGGCTCCAGAAACAACAGGACTCATTTACCTGGAGGGGATTTCAAAGAGAAACCTGAAGAATGGATTCTCTGAGTCTGCAGTCCCTCTCCGCACCTTCAGCTAAGCCAGCCTCTGACAGGCAGTCCTTCCCACGGCAGCCACCCCTGCCTTCCATCTTAGGGACTCACCCAGAAAATTCTCCAGCCTGCTCCGCGACTACAAAACTCTTCTAATGCTTTTGAACGCCCACCATTTGTTCGCCATTCATCCAATCAACTTCGAACCGCGCATCTTCTCTCTATCGGCGCGCAGACACGGGGCCACTTCTCATCTGTATGCTAATTATTTTGCCACATGGACAAAAGTAATAATGCTTTCAGACAGGAAACTAACAGGCCTGAAGTCGAAGATGGAAATTAATAAGTTGACACCACTAAACGCCGGGGAAGACGGGCATGCGTGCAGAGCCCTGCCTGGTGGATGCGGCGCAGCCTCCATCAGCAGGCAGCAGACAGACGGCCCTGGGCCGCCAGCACTGCCCAGGCTGCGAGCATCAGGCACAGGTTTCCTTAGAGACCACATCGCTGCCGCAGAGGCACACCGGGAGCATCCTGCTGACTTACCCCGCTCGGGCTGCAGTCCTTTTAAGCAATACAAAACGCAGCCATTTCCTCAAACCCTAACTTCATCGCTCATCTAGATGCTTCTCAACCTAAAAGCTGTGAGTTAAAACCAGTAATTTCTAGCCTTCCTGTTTACTAGGCTTTCAGCAGTCAGGCAAGATTGGGATGTGTGCTGTGTGCTTCCTACACTGTACCCACAGGCCTCTAAATCTCTAGAGCAGAGCCTATGATGTGCAGTGCTGTATTTAATGTAATAGATGAGAACTGTAAATACGCAGGCTGGCTGTTGGCTGCTACCCGCTAGGTGATGTATCTCAGAAAATCTCCCCTATCTTTGACGTTATGGTAAATGCATATCTTGGTCCAAGAAAATCTCACCAAAGTCAGCAGAACCTTGGTGTTTTCACTGGAACTACGGCTACACATCAAAACAAAAACAGAAAAGCACCCAGGCCTCCCTGCCACTTCTTAAGACGGGAGAGCGGGCACCAGAGAGTTAACGAAGGGGTTCCTACAGAGTCCCTGGCTTGCCAGCCACATTACATTATCCCATTCTGGCGGCACACGCTCCTTTTTATCCTTTTCTTTTAAAACAAGAGGCAGAACTATTCTCTGAGTAACTTTCAGCATTGCCAGCCCATGATACCAGTATTAGTATCACTTGAAGAAAACAGAAAAAGTTTATACCAAAAAAGAACAGACCCAATAAGATGCCAAAAAACACAAAAGAGAACACAGCTATATGACTTTCTGTAGCACATTTTCTTTTTATTTTTGTTTTAATTTCTAAGTGCTGATTTTATAAATGACTACTGACACAAGCAACAAATGCTTTTCTGTGGTAGTAGCTGCCCCTGCTCCCACCCTGCCCCTCAGCACACTGTAAAGGCACACTAAATCATAAAGGCTGCTTAGTACCTCCCTCCCCTCCCCTGGAAGCTACCTTGAACAGTGAGAATAACTCTGGGAAGATTTCAAACCAGCAACCCACAGGCATGTTTACCTGAGAGGCAGCTGTGGCCAGGGGAGTCTGTTGTTAGCCCTTTGTACCCCAAACCCTGCCATTCTGTCATAGTGTGCAACCAAACAAGAGTGGAAGGTGTCCAGGCAGGTGGAGAAATGGCTGTGGAGAGTACTTAAGAGACTATCAGAAATCACTCCGGAGAGTTGGACGCTGCAGCAGCCAGGCAAATAAGCAACCACATGTCCCCTTTAAATGAAAGGGAAGAAGTACCTCTCTCTGCAGAAGAGTTGGTGGCCATCAGCAAGTCCTCCTCAGCAGTCTGTCTCACCCATGCAGCTCCTCAGCTGCCATGGAGAGCCCCAGGCACGTGTGGTCACAGATCCCTCCGTGTTTGCATTCCCTCCACCCCTCCTGTCAGGACCCACACCGTCAGTCCTGTGCACGGGAGTGCAAGGCAGAGCCAGCAGATCAGCCACTGGGGGCCTCCATAGGCACAGTGCAGACTGGTTTCTGAGGGAGACTGACTGACAGCAGTCCCAAGGTCCCAGGAACACCCTCTTCTTGCTCTCAGAGGTAATTCCTCTGAAGAGCATGTGCCTGGCGCGTGGTTACTACACAGGGTACTGTTGGCTCCCTTTTCAGTGCTCTCCACAAGGAGGCTTGCTGGGGACACCCAGTTTCCCTCCATCTTCCCACAGACAATACACTGTCCACTGCCATCGGAGCACCTCCCTCCCCTTCCCTACTCCCCCAGTAATGCCCACATGGTCCTTTTTCTTTCACAGAGAGAGCTGTAGCATTCACAACATTCCCTTCCTGCCCAGCAGCCCGAGGCAGCAAGGTTGCTCAGTGTCTCCTTCATACAATAAATAAGCATGTATGCATTCTCTCTAGTTTTCTAACACCTGAATTACATTTTCTCTGCCATCTCTGATTACTTCTGCAGATACCCTGAGGGCTCATTAGAATGTCAATGCTTTAAAAAAAAAGCACTTTCATTGTCATTGTGTGTGCTGGAACAATGCAGGTGTGGAGGAGACAGAGACAGGAGAGAGAGGGGCTGTTAGATAAACAGGGACAGAGTTAAAGAGGGGCCAGGAGGCCAGAAGAGAGAGGGAGAGAGGGTTGAGAAGGGGAAGAGAACACAAAGATACTTCAGACTGAATCACACAGCATTGAAACATAGCCTACTAATGGGAAAATGTAGAGTTGTTTCCCCCAAATCATCTGATGTCAGAAAAAAAAAGCACACAATAAATGACAAGAAGTACAATCCTTAATATTACTCCCAGTGCCAATTACGACCATTTTAGGCATTATATGAATAGATAGGTTATGCCAACTTAAAGTGCTTGTTAAAAATACTAGCTGTATATGTTATTTAGATATCACCCCCCCGACACACACACACACATACTAAAACAAAACACACATATACCACTTTATTCTTTAAGTTTTTGGTATCAGCTATGGTTAGTTAGTCTGGAATCCATATAGATGGGTGCCATTTGAGGCATTGTATCATGCAGAGGGACGGAACTTAGCTTTGTGAAACACATGTTAATGTTTTGCAAGTTTTTGTTCAAGTTTACCTCCTATTTCTTTTGTCAAGGAATGCTACTTAATGCCATTTTTAAAAGAGAAGAGAGAGAGGTTCTTAAAAACATGAAAGGAAACACTGAACACTGCAGTGAGCAGAGCTACCTGGGGCTGTCTCACCTGTCACTCACTTGCTTCCTGGACAGATTCTGGGGGACTCTGCAGGCTTTATGGACAAATATTAGATGCATTTGAAAAACTAGTTATTGATTAGAAAACATGGCCCTTGAGGAAAGAGGGCAGCCAGTTGAGCTCAAGTTCAAGTTCATGGCAGATTGCTTCCCTACCAAGGTAACCTCATTATTTTCTCTTGTTCCATAAAGTGAATTTTTTTAACATAAGACTGAATAAAACTTGAAGTTGTTTGGAGTTTCAAGTGCAGCCACTGAAATGCATAGTAAGTAAGCAGTGTGTTAGAAGGGATAATATGTATTTTTTTAAAAAAAAAACAAGTCTCCATCAAAGTAGATTGACTTTCAGGTGGGCATGGGATGCCTAGTTTAGACTTGTGACATTTAAAATATTATTTTGTTAGCAAAATTTCCCTCATATATAATCATTTTTTTAAAGTTGTACATGTGGTATGTTTCTAAATAGAGCTAACAAAGCAAACTGATACTCAGATTACATATTCATTGTTTTAAAATTATATATATATGATAGTAACAAATAGAAAAAGCTTTAAAAGTTGAATATTTGAAAATAACTTTTATTTAAATTTATTTTTGAAAGTTGGTAAAGAAAGTGAACAGGTATCATGGAAGAGTGAGATAATTTGCAACAATGACTAAAAGTCAAAAATTTTAAAAGAGTAAAAATTAAATTCAACTGGCTATAAAGCATGGCAGGAATATTAAGGATGCCACATCAATGAGAAATGACCCCCTCAGTCATAACTACATGCTTTTAAACAGAGTTCATACAGCTACATATTCCAAAGGAAAACTGTAGGCTCATGTTCCTTTAAGAAATTTTGTGTATCAGTCATAAGTGTTCCCAAGTTATTGGGCCTCAACCCTGGCCTCAGCTTCAAACACAGATACATGGAGCTGGCATTGGTTGTTGCTCTGGGTGCAAGTTTCACTACATAAAAAATGTTCGTATGATGTGTACTTCCTGCCCTAATGTACCAGGTAACCCTGGCTCATGTTTTCAAAAAAATTAAATTGTATTAATAACCAGGCACATTGAGGTAAACAGCGTCCACTTCCAAAGTAGTAATGTTTGCCGTTTTAGAGCCCAAAATCACATGAATTATTTTTGGCAGATTCATGTGTCTGATATTTATAAACATGTGCATGCAACAGCAGCTGCAATGTCTTTATAACATAAATTTTTTAAAAAGCCATCAGCTACAGATCTGGGCTGCCACCATCTTCAAAACATCCAATTGTGACCATAAACACCGCTCGACTTCTACCTCAGTGAGCACTGTCATTAAGGTGATGAAAGTGAGAGCCATTTTCACATCGGCAGTGAACCTGTAGGAAGTCGCTGCTGAATCCAATTGCTATCTGCCATGGACAGCTCCCGGTGCTGAAAGGAGGCCAGGAAGCCCTATCACAATGGCTCCCTCCACCAGCCTTTGAAAAATCACAGCAAACTGAATGGGGTGGAAAGTGCTCAGCCTGAATAGCACTGTCTACAGAACAATGGCGGCCAGCTCCAAATCCTGCTATAATCACATTAATGAGATTAATCAGTGAATTAGCAGCAGTCAAATGTCAGGGAGGCAAGGAGGAAGCCAACCAAGATGGTGATTAACTTGGGGAGTGGGGGAGGGGGGAAATCAACTGTGCTCTGTCCGAGGATTTGCAGAACTTGACAGATCTGATTCACAAATCTGAAGGCTGAAGGTAGAAATCAAAAGGCGGTCACACAGCCCTTCAGAGCACACCGTGGATCCAGCCACCACCCTGCTGCTAGTCTGCTGAGGAAAACACGATAACAGGAATCTGCACAAACTGCCCAAATTTTGCAGTTGGAGGCTTTCAACTGTGTAACTAACATTTAATATTAATTTATTTTCCCTAAACTCAAGCTAAAATATATTTTAAATGTTTGATTAGGAGAAGGAGGGGTCACGGCAAGAGTTTTAAAAAGTGTACCAAGTATTGCTCCACCATGCAAACACCCCTGCAGTGGTCTCTCATAAACAAATATTAAAATATATAAAATTTAATGTTGAAGTGCAACTTTAAGGAGAGTTTTAACTAACTGACTTCTGCACGGAGGCAATTTATGCATTCATGGTCAAACAAGGAAGGAAAAACAATAAAGTTCTTTGAGGGGGATGGATGTTGTACAGTTGTATTTAAAACCTATCATCAATACTGTGGGCTCAGAGTTTTGAGGGTGGTGTTAAAACTTACAGGAATCCTATGATAACTGTTTTCAGAAGGGAATTTTGAATAAAACACTTGCAGTTTTAAAGTAAGTGTGTATCTATCTATTTGTAAAACACACCTTACTTTTTTAATTTCAAAGGCTACATTATTTTATGCTCATAAAGGTGTTGTGGGTGCTTTTGTCTGTGGTGTTAGTAAAAAGTATAAACACTTGAATAAAAGAGTTGTTCGACAAACTACTTTATCCTAATTAAGTAAACAACATAATGATCTATAACATATATAGTCTCAATTGTA